GCCTCTGCATCAGGTCCTGCCTCCAGGTTCCTGCCCTGACTTCTTTTTACAATGAACAGTGATGTGGAAGTGTGAGCAAAATAAACCCTGTCCTCCCCCGGTTGCTTTTGGTCATGGTGTTTCATCACAGCAGCGGTGACCCAAGGACAGTAAATCCATAGAATACCTTTGTTTTTTTGTGGCTAGGACTTTGCATAATGGATGTTTGAATGACTCTTTCATCCAAATAGCCCTTACTGCCTCGTGTGCTTCTTGGTGCTTTTCTGGTTTGCAAGTGAACCCTTCATGCTGCTCCCACCCTAGGAGGGGTGAGTCTGTAGGCATGGTTTCTAGTACTCTTTTTTTGGTTTTGTTTTTTTGAGACAAGGTTTCTCAGTGTAGCCCTGGCTGTCCTAGAACTCACTCTGTAAATCAGGTTGGCCTTGAACTCAGAGATCTGCTTGCCTCTGCCTTTGGAGTGCTGGGATTAAAGGCGAGCGCCTGCACCACCACTTCGCTTTTCCTAGTACCCTGGAGCATCTCCACATTAGGGGTTCTTGTGACCCCTCAGAATGGATGCACTTTCCAGGACTGCTTTAACAATCTATTATTGTGATGGGACTGCACGGTGTGTGTGAGGACATGTGCCGTGGTGTGTGTCTGTCTGGAGGTCTAAGGACATGGTTCTCTCCTTCCACCTTTAGATGGGTTCCAGGGCTTGGATCCAGGTCATCAGCCTTGTGTGGCAATTCTTTACCCATCGACACATCTACCAGCTCCTAGGTAGCACTGGAAAACAAACCTTTGTTGTTACGTACTCTGTGTGACATGGAGGTCAGAGGACAAATCTGTGGAGTTGGTTCTCTCCCTTACTAGGCTTACGTGGCAAACACCTCTACCTGATGAGCCATCTTGATGGTTCACGAGGTCATATTTTAAATCAGCATCCGGTGGTGTAGATGGAGGCTGTTCATTCATTCCAAGCTGCCCAGACCGGAATAATCATACAGAAACCATATTAACAACAACACTGCTTGGCCTTGGCCTATGTTTGTGTTTTTCGAGATAGGGTTTCTCTGTAGCTTTTGAGCCTGTCCTGGAACTAGCTCTTGTAGACCAGGCTGGCCTCAAACTCACAGAGATCCACCTGCTTCTGCCTCCCAAGTGCTGGGATTAAAGGTGTGCACCACCACCACCTCCCAGCCTAATTCTTACATCTTAAATCAATCAATTTCTGGCTGTGGCTTACTGGTAAGGACCCAGCATCTATCTCCTTTGGCAGCTACATGGCATCTTTTTGACTCCACCTACTCTCTATATCTCTGTTTAGATTTCCCGTATGGCTTTACTCTGCTAAGCCATTGGCTGAAACAGCTTTATTCATCAACCAATAAAAGCAACATATATACAGGACATCCCATATCAAGGTTGGTGGGGTAAGATAATTCCCCCCCCCCTCTCTCTCTCAATATTTTGAGACAGGAGTTTTCTATGTAACAGCCATGTTGTGTCTTGGAATTTGCTTTGTAGACCAGGCTGGCCTCGAACTCACAGAGATCCGCCTGCCTCTGCCTGCCAAGCGCTGGGATTAGAGGCGTGAGCCATCATGCCCAGCATATTTTTTATATTCTAGATACAGATCTTATTTTGGTATGGTCTATGACTGGTCTTCAGGAAAAGACATCACTCTGTAAAAATCATCAGGTCTAGTTATGAAGATATTAGCTTCCAGCTTTCTCATCAGGTGCAGTGAATTTAAAAGGCCTTTTTGGGTTAAAACAATTCAGTTTCAAATACGTAAGGTATTTTTCATGTATTCCAGGTGATCACTTGACAATATGGTTCTGAACATTTTGAAGATACAGGATTTGCATCTTGAATTGAGCTATTCCCATTTAAGGAAACCGCATATGAAAAGGCAGAACAGACAAAAGATGCCTTCAATGTTCTAATAACTTTGTAAAATTATATATACGTACTATTTGTATTTAGAGCTTTTGCGTGCTTATTTCACAAGGACTCAAGTGCTGGAAGGTATGGGTTTCCAGTCATGTTCTGTCACGGTGCAACCTATGAAATGGCGCTTCAATACCCTGGGCTCACTTTGCCCTTGCTTACAGTGTGGAGTGCCAGATGATGCTTAGCACACACTCTGTACGTATCACCAAGGAGAATGTGCTTAGCATTTTATGGTTCTAATGTTCAACGGGACAAGTAAATATGGTGAAATGCAGAGCCCTATTGAGAGCAACATGGAGGATGTAAATTCCATTTACGGACTTATGCATGGAGCAGACACAAGAACAAAACGGAATCATTACACGTTAAAGGGTTAAATACTAAGACTTAGTCAAATAAAACCAAAACTATGGCTAAGCCCGTTGTTGGTACATGGTAATAATTTTAGCACTGTGGAGGCTGAAACAGGAGGATAATGAGTTCCAGTCTGGCTCTACAGTGAGACCTGTCTCAAAAGACAAAACACTCCTATGTTTGCATTCAACAGATCCTCAGAGCTAGTTTAAGGAGTGTGACGCAGGGCCTGGAGAGATGGCTGATGGTGGAGTGTGGTGCGGCCACGAGGACCCGGGCTCAGAGCTTTAGCATACATGTAAACACCAGATGTGCTGGAATATGTAAACACCAGATGTGCTGGAATATGTAAACACCAGATGTGCTGGAATGTGTAAACACCAGATGTGCTGGAATGTGTAGCCCTGGTGCTGAGGAGTCAGGTGAGTATGGGGCTTGCTGTCTAGCCAGTGGGTGGAATCTGAGACTTTCAGCTTCAGTGTGAAAACTCAGATGGAGAGCTGGAGAGATGCTGTGATGGCTAAGAGCACTTGACTGCTCTACTAGAAGACCAGGGTTCGAGTCCCAGAACCCACACAGTGGCTGACAATCATCTGGAACTCTAGTTCCGGGGGAATCTTAGGACCTCTTCCAGTTGTTGCCAAGGGCTGCGTGCATACAGTGCACAGACATCCATGCAAGCAAAACATCCATACATATAAAATAAACAAGAGCAAATAAAAAACAAGGTAGAGAACAATTGAAGAGAACATCCGACACTGACCTTTGGCTTACTCACCCAGGTGCACCACATACATATACATACATCGTACACACATACACACACAAAGAAATATGTTAGGAATCTGGTGGTGTCTCTAGTAGAGGTCCTAAGTTCAAACCAGCATCACAACTACAAGTGATGGGGTGATGGAAGGTGTTATTAGCTTATAAAGGTTAGTTATAAAGGCAGTTACCATATACCTGCTTGCTTTTGTTTTTTTTTAAATATTTATTTATTCATTATGTATACAATATTCTGTCTGTGTGTATGTCTGCAGGCCAGAAGAGGGCACCAGACCTCATTACAGATGGTTGTGAGCCACCATGTGGTTGCCGGGAATTGAACTCATGACCTTTGGAAGAGCAGGCAATGCTCTTAACCACTGAGCCATCTCTCCAGCCCAACCTGCTTGCTTTTGTAACTGGCCTACACTTAACCCACTGCCAGGCTAACTGACAAACTCCATTCCCCTGAACAAATGGTTCATGACCTTGCACCAGACCTTTTGTGATCATAATTGTTCCTTTCAGTGCATGTATTTGTTCAGTTTACTTGGATGCTTGATAAGACCGGTGGTTTATTCCCAAGGGGCCCCATTGCAAAAGTGAATTTCTCATTAAATACTTAAGATATAACCGGAAAAATGAGCGAAGAGAGGATTTCTTTATAAAGTTGGCTGGAAACACTAATGCCACTCCAGTTGCAACGAGTGTGTGTTAATGCCCAGATCTTGTTTCTAAATAGCTCATTATAAAAAGAAGCCAGGAGTTTCAGGAGAGCTGTTTCCATGCAGGTTTGGGGCGATGGAGATGTAGGATGAACTTGAGATGTCATGTGTTAGAAGGTAATAAAGCACCCAGAGACCAGAGACAACGCCAGAAGCAGTGATTGTAACTGACTAACACATCGACTCATCTGTCATCACCGTAGATCACACACACACACACACACACACACACACACACACACTCCTCCTAAACTGGTTAACTAGTGGAAAGAGCTAAGCATAGTCTTACTTCTGATGCACTTTCAGCTAATGAAGGAAAATTCCTCCCCACAGAATACTGCCTAGCAAGTGTGGGAAGAGCAATAGAAAACCACTGATTTTGCAGACCTAATGGAAAGGCTGGCCCAGACAAGGACTGCCACTAGGGAAGAACATGACTAGGTACAAATCTGTTGGTTAAGAGGACAGCCACATTGCCCAAGTGTCAGTCCACAGACGGTTAACCATAACAGGAAGAATCACATCGGGACAATCTGGTGCTTGCCACCTCAACAGCCAATTGTCACATCTCCAATGGTATGTTGGCCTGATAGTGAGTTTTGGCAACGGAGGAGGAACTGCAACCATAAAGATGTTTAACCTGAGCTCAGTTAAGCCTTTGGCCTCAACCTCTAATTTACAGAAGCTCCAGGACATGAATTACACCACATGCTAGCCATGTATAAACTATTTAAATTCTGAACGTGACAATGGACACATCCTGAGAACAACGGAAGGGACTGGTGTAGCTGGAGGAAGCAGGTCCAACAAAGGGTGTGCAGAAACGCACAGGCTCAACGGGGGAACTCAGAGAATAGACTAGGTGTTAGATGTTAGAAAGGACTGTCCATTTTCTATGAGGTTATATAGTTATGTGACTTATTTTTATGAGACGTATTTAGAGGTGAAATGTCTTTAAGTTACTTTTCAGTATGGCAAAATATTAACTTTAAGATATAGGTGGTTGGTACAGTAAATTTTATGTTTTTTAAACTTTTTTTTTTACATATTTAGCAAAGTTCCTCATAAAAAGTTGTGGGAAATACTTGTTAAAATCTGTTGAATTACTCATGGGCCAGACAACTTTAAAGTGAGGGAAACACACATAAAGACAGGATTCTGTACTCTTATCTATTTTTTTTTTATAGAAGCCTTACTTGCCTCTGTGTGGCAGTGGAAGACTTTAGGTTATTTACAGAAACACATGAAGGCAGGAAACACAAAGCAGCGCCCAGGGCCTGCACCACATCATCTTCATCCCAGCAGAAAGAAGCATTATGCAAGGCATGAAGCAACATCAAGACCCATCTAGAAAACACAGTCGCTATTCTTAACAGAACTGCAGAATTAGCATAATCTAAGTATTTTTAAACCAGTATTTTATGAATACTATGAAATCAAGGATAACTAATGTCAGGAAAAGAGAAAGTGACAGTTTCATTAGGAACACAGCTGGGTGGTGGTGGCGGTGATGGCAGCTGGTGGGGGCACACCTTTAATCCCAGCACTAGGGAGGCAGATGCAACTTGGTCTACAGGGTGAGTTCCAGGACAGCCAGGGCTACACAGTGAAACCCCGTATCAAAAAACAAAACAAAAAATGCAACCAATAAACCAACCAACCAAAACCAACAAAAAAGAAACATAAAAACCACTCCCACAAAGACAGCCTCAGGATGCCAGCACCTCAACCTTTCTTCAGCCCCCACTGTGGTGTCTAGTGATGCTGTGTTGTCAATATAAGCTGAGGTTATTTATGATACCAGAATTTGTTTCTTCTCCTTTAGTTAAGGAAACTTTCATTGGGCAATGATGTCCCACAGCTTCTGATGTTCCATTCTTAAGTGTTATTACACAGTCAATGGTATTTGTTAACCACATGATGCAGGGACACAGTTGTTTTTCAGTCTCACCAATTTCCCTTCACGCCTGTGGTTCTACTTTACTACTCAACTCTAATTCACACAATTTACTCATCAATTCAGCCAATGCACACTGATCCTATGCAAGGCACTGGAGGAACAAGAACGAGCAAACGGGAGCCTTGCTCTCCATTTCACAGTGTGATGCTACGGGCAGTAAATACAACAGCAACTTAAAAAACCAATTCCTGCCAATCTTTTTAAGACCCATGAACTCAGTTATTGTTTAGTGACTACTGATTAATGATAGTTTCTGCACCAAGGCTTTTCCCAATGAAACATTTTCCTAATACATTAAGTGTAATTTCTATTTTAATTACTTCTATGTGTGAAGGAGTACTGGGCTTCCAGTTTTTGCTGAAAATAATTTCCTTTTTAGCTTCCTATAAATAGGCTAATTTTTCTTTTACCACTGTTATTTCCTTAGGTAAAGGGGTCCAGTTATATTTCATGTCACACAGCTGCTTACATAATTCCCTTCCTTGCTCCTTTCCAGCCTGGTTTTCCCTTGCCACCTCTGCACTGGACTGGAACCTTTTCTATCACTTACTCTCACGTTATTTGTATAGCTATGTTCATTGCTCACTCAACTTGGCTTATGGGTAGCATTGGCAACTTACTTAGGTAGGATTATGCTTGTTCCGTGGCAAAGTAGTTAAGAGCATGTCCTTCCCTTTTCTTTACTCTAAAGATCTTTGTTAATGGAAAAGGTTCAATCAAAAAGTCTGTCTTGAGCACAGAAGGCTCTCAGGAAATGTATTTCAATGAAAGAAATGGCTTAGCTACGTTAAGAGCCATGGAGAAACTTCTCAATTTAAAAGCTTGCTGGAAAAAAGATGGGAATGGTAAGCCTGTCATTGTTTTCTTCAGGGGATGCTGGCTGTCAAAAATCAAGCGAAACTAAGAATCCAAGAATCCGGTTGTGCTAAAGATGATTTAAACTTGGGGGTGTTTAATCTGTGCCTGTTTGAGTTTGTTCGTGTCAAGGATGCACTGATCTACCTTATCAGACTGCCCCCTCTTCCTGGAGGAAGTGCAGTTAGCAGTGGTCATGGAGAAATCTTTGGAGATCCTTTCGGGTCTCGTCCTCTAGTTGTAATGGGAAAAGAAGAAGCCGAAAAATGGGATGGACCTTTTACTTATTTTAAGGCTTCAAAGCTAGGATGAAGCCGAGGCTCCAGAACATCTATCTTCTTTCCTATAATGTCAGGATTACTCTCTAGTGTGAGGTCTACTTGGACGGACACTTGCCCAGGTTATAGTCATAAGGCCTTAATAAAACATACTTGACACATACTAAGAGTTGATGAGTCACAGATTTTAAAATAGCCTTTCATAGTATTTCTGGAATGAATTCAAGTGATACAACAGCTAAGCAGTTGATGGATATTCAGGTTTCACACTAAAATGTAAATGGACGAGAGCCACTTTGCTAATTCTGGGACTCCTGATACTGTGGCATCAGCATATTGCACGTCACCAGCTTTCTCTCGAATAGTTTGACACAGCACACGGAATGAAACTTAAGCAATCAAGTTTTAAAGCTTAAACAAAGTCATATCCATTAGTTGTGGTATCTGGCACCTGCTGCGGTGCCTGACACCCGTATGAACACGTTGATGCTGAATAAGATTGGTACTCTGGGTGAAGGATTTCCCACATATTCGGCACACATAGGGCTTCTCTCCCGTGTGAATTCTCTGGTGTTGAATAAGGCATGTTCTCTGGCTAAAATCTTTGTTACAATGATTACATTTATAGGGTCTCTCTCCAGTGTGAGTTCTTCGGTGTTGATTAAGTGATGAAGAATAAATAAAAGCTTTCCCACATTGATGACATTTATAGGGCTTCTCTCCAGTATGAATCCTTTGATGCTGAGTAAGATTTGCACCTTGTCTGTAAGCTTTCCCACATACGTTACATTTAAAGGGCTTTTCTCCATTGTGGATCCTCTGGTGCTGAGTAAGGTGCACACTCTGGCTGAAGGCCTTCCCGCACACGCTACATTTATACGGCTTCTCTCCAGTGTGCGTTCTATGGTGCTGAGTAAGATTTGCACTCTGGCTGAAGGCTTTCCCACACACATTACAGATATAGGACTTCTCGCCAGTGTGGATAGTCTGGTGTTGTATGAGAGTTGAGGAATGAGCAAAAGCCTTTCCACACTCATTGCACTTATAGCACTTCTCCCCAGAATGAATTCTCTGATGTCGAATGAGATAAGTGCTCTGACTAAACACCTTCCAACACTCATTGCACTTGTATGGTTTTTTCCCAGTATGGATTTTTTGGTGTTGGAGGAGGTGTGTACTCTGACTGAACGTCTTCCCACACTCATTGCATATGTAAGGTTTTTCTCCAGTGTGAATTCTCTGGTGATTAATCAACGATGAACTATGACTAAAGGTTTTACTGCATTCCAGACATTTATATGGTTTCTCACCAGTGTGTGTCCTTTGATGTATGGTGAGATGTGCGCGCTGACTAAAGTCTTTTCCGCATTCATCACACTTGTAGGGCTTTTCTCCAGTATGGATTCTCTGGTGTATAGTGAGGTGTGCCCGCTGGCTGAAGGCTTTGCCACACTGGTGACATTCATACGGTTTTTCTCCAGTATGCATTCTCTGATGTGCAATGAGGGACGAGATGTGCTTAAACTCTTTCCCACATTCTTCACATTCATACGATTTCTCTTTGGCATGGCTATTTCGGTGTGCCAGGAGGGATGGGTATTTCCTAAATTTTTTTCCACAGACATTACACGAATAAGGCTTATCTCCAGGAAGTATTTTCCCATGCACAACACCAGATGAGACAGTAGTGAATGTTGGCTTGCTTTCATCATACAGAGAAGTTTTATTATCTGATTGGGTATCAAACTGTACAATCAGGTTTGTGTGCTTTTCAAAGTTATTTTTATATATATCGTATTTACTAAGACAGTCTTCTGTAGGGTCTTCTTCTGAACGTTCTGACTTCACACTGAAGTCTCTTTCATCCAGGTGAATCTTCCCGAAGGCAAACACTGGCTGCCTCTCTAATCTGTCATCACAGTCATAGACTTCTTCCAATTTGATGGTCTGGGTTCCATCTTGTTTGAATTTAGGAGGATCCTTTAATGGAATATGTGCTTCAGCTTTTGTTTCCCATTCTGAAATAAAAAAAGTAAGATTCTTATACTCTTTAAAGAAAGGAAACAAAATATATACGAATAAAAATATCTGAAGATTACAGTTCTGATAACTTCGTTTTATGGTCCTTAAAGTTTAGAAAGGGAAAATGAATGCTTAGAAAAGGCAATAAACCACTGAAAATGGGAGGCTTCTTATAGTCAGCATGGTACCCAGAGCACCGAGGAGGCAGGTGACAGTGTTAAAAGAAACCGGGATACATGGTAAAATACATAGTGATCTCATGAAATAGGCATGATGCTTTATTATTTTCCCTTCCAATCTATAGGCACAGGCCCAAATTATAATAGATTTTGTTTTTGTTTTCTTTTTGAGACATGGTCTATGTAGTTCTGGCTATTCTGGAACTCCCTATTTAGAGCAGGTTGGCTTTGAACTTACAGAGATCCACCTGCCTCTAACTTCTGAGTGCTGGGATTATAGGTGTGTGCCACTATGCTAGGCTACCAACCATAAAATTTCCCATTATTCATTCATTCATTCCCTTATTTATTTAGGTTTTTGGAGACAGAGTTTCTCTGTGTACCCTGGCAGTCTTGTAATTCAACATGTAGACTAGGTCGGTCTTAAAACTCAGAAATCCATCTGTCTCCGCCTCCCGAGTGCTGGGATTAAATTAAAGGTGTGTGCCACCAAATCCGGCTCATATTATAGTCTCAAAATAATTCCTGGAGTGCTTTCTACTCTCAGTTATCCAGCAGTCTTAAACAATGGTTCCTGAATCCAATGTCTCTGGACTAGCCGTGAAAGCTTCCCCGTCACCTGAAAATGAGTTGAAATTATTGGGTCCTGTCCTAAATTTATTTAAGAGGCGTTGGCAGTGAGGCTGAATGATTTGTTTTAGCCAGCACAGAAGGCTCTTTCTTTCCACAGCAAAGTGGAGGAGGGAGGACAAGCAGCCTAAAGACTAAAAGGAACCCCCAAAGAGCTCAGATACCTCCTCTGGTATTTAGCCCAAATGATCTTTTACCTATCTCCATCTTGTATATATGATCCTTAATTTAAGTTCAAAGCTACGTTCACAGTCTGTAAGCACCATGCTAATTCCAGACTGTCTGCTCCTACCTACTGAAGGAGATGGTTGTAGTTTACCTTGTTTCCCTCACAGCGTTCTTCCTACAATCTAAATACAGAGGAGATGAACGAAAGGGTCAGCTGTCTTCCTCAAGGGTCAAAGGGCTGAATATCAGCAATCTCAATGTGGTTCAACTTAATACAATGACAGAACCTAAGGCCTTACACACTTATTTTACTTTGTGTGACTTTTGACAACTTATATTTCAACTTAGATGTAAATTGTAGAAATAGCTTTTATCTTTCTTACATTTCCTTCAGAAAATGGCCAAGACTTTGAATTTGGTGGCTAGTCAAATGAACTTAGAAAAATGATAATAACTTGTAATGATAATTTCTTTATACAAAATACAAACAAAAACCTCTAACCCAAAATCCGGTTTCAAGGAACTCAAGTATGCATTTATCCATAGCTGCTGCTATGTTTCCAATAAACGATTTAAAGCCTACTTGTTACACCTCTATGAAACCAAGTGGGGAAATATATAACTTGTCTTAGTTATATAATATGATGATGAAGAAAAGGCACTGGATGGTTCAGAAACTAAATGCAGCTCAAGGTATAATAACTTTACCAGCCGGTCACTTCAATAGGTCAGAATGTGGCCACTGAAAATGAAAATGTTGCATCAGTGAGCAGGGCACGAGTGGAAACTGTGACGGCAGGAGGAGGGAGATCTAGGCACACCTAGGAAAAGCTGTGCCCGCACACCATGGGAACAAAGGCAGGTGGGAAATAGCATCTGGAGGGATGGAGGGAGCCCGGTTTATCTCTGTAAAGACATGCCACATGAAAGACATAAGGAAATGTTGATAGTCTGAGGGATGGGGTCCTGGCAATCGCTGAGGGAGAAGCCACATATTTAATCTGCTTCCTCACACTACATGAATTTACAAACCATTTTTATTACATCTATTCAAATACAAAATCACAGTTGACAGTAGAGCCTGTCTAGGGGTAATGACAAATGAGAAAGGGCCACCGTGAGGGGGAGGGAGAAATAGTAGTTTGCTTTTCCTAATTTTCTACTTTTACTGCTGTTTAGTGCTAGAAGTGTGTGTGTGTGTATTTAATAGAGGAAAAAATTTAAAAGACAACTTTCAAATCAGGCTATTATCCTGATCCAAAAGAACAAAACGGCTGGATTCAACAATTAGGTACACTGATAAGAAGAACGAGCTGGTCCTAGCAGTTCAGTTTAACTTCTGTGTAGTTAGGTCACAGTATCTATATATGTCTAGAAAGGAAGTACTCAGCACGTGTGTACGCACACGTGGACACACACACACACACACACACACACACACACACACCCCGATTGAACCCAGGCCCTCATACATTCTAGATAAGTGTGCTACCACTGAATTACATCACAAATTATAATTAACAAGCTTAAAGCAAAAGCCCACTGGTACTATTATAATAAACGTACATTTAAGAAAATCAGTTTATTAGAAATTCAGGAACTGAGCCCATGAATCAAAGTATAAGTATGTGTATGTATCTATCTATCCAAAATGGTTGCTTACAGGTGATATCTGTTGGCTAATAAGGCCTAGAAGTGGTTTAATATTTTCAGTAAAGGAATCAGTGTTGATTCAGGTAGAAACAGAAGCCACAGCAGAGATGGTGTGGTCTGAATTGAGCCTCAGGCTAGGTCCTGTACAAATACGAACTATAAGTGGCTCAGCAGTTACGAGCAATTGTTGCCCTTGCTCAGATTCTCAGCACCCACGTGATGGCTCACAACCACCCTTAACTCTTGGTCCAGGGGATCTGATGCCCTCTTCTGACCTGCACAGATATCAGAAACACACAGTACGCATACACACATGTAGGCAAAATATTCATACAAATAAAGAAGGTCTGAGCTGAACACACACCTTTAATCCCAAAATTTAGGAGGCAGAGGCAAGCAGATCTCTGTGAGTTCAAGGTCAGCTTGGTGTATAGAGCTAATTTCTAGGACAGCCAAGGCTACATTGAGAAACCATGTCTCGAAAAACCAAAAAATAAAGAAAAAAAAGTAAATAAAACTAAAACTAAATCAAACCAAAAATAGTTACAAGACAGTAATGGCCACCAAAGACCAACACTGCTAGTGACAAGAGACCCATGTTTCAGTTTCCTTTATTTATTTATTGTAGACAGATCTCTCTGTATAGCCCTGGCTGGCCTGAACGAGCTACATGAACTAGCTAATTCAGACTGGCCTTGAATTTACAGACTCTGCCCGCCTCTGCCTCCCAAGTGCTTGGATTAAAGGGATGTGACATCACACCTGGCTCTCTTCTTGTAGAACCAATGAGATACGTTAATCAAAGGCTGAACTACTTACTCATCATCTGGCAAGAGAGCAAACTCCTCAGCATCAGCCAAAACATAGGTAAAAGCAGGAGGCAGGAGGATAGCCAGAGCTGAGGTAATCTACTTGAGATGTCTACCCAGACAGCCCAGGAGTTTAAACAGCCACTTTGAGAGTGTCAGCAGTCCAAGCCTAAGACAAAACTGGGCCCAGCTGGAAGGAGCCGACAGGATCCCTTTGTGGAGATTAGCATCAAGGGCCGGCCAGAAACAGAAAATGTAAAAGAACTTAGTTTCTTTCCCAGTCTTTGTGCTTAGTAAAAGCTCTTACACATAACTGCAAATGGCCCCTTCTTCACTTTATAGATTAACCCGAGCTCCTAAATGGCCTAAAATCCCCATGCTATGAAGTTCATTCAAGTGGTCCCAGATTGGTGGCATCTCCCAGAGACCAGCATGACGTCAGCTGAGGCTTATTTCGTTACTCCATATGATTTCTCCCATGTGCCAATTAAACTGACAAAAATCCTGCTAATTAAATGCTGTGGTTATGGAAAAGAATTAGATTTCCAGTAGTAATCCTTAAAATATATACTGAACAATGAACCTTTTAAAAAAAGTGAAAGCACATAGAATTTTGTCATTATTGTTTAAGTAACTGTTAATGCTATATTATGGATATTCAAGTTGGTGACTTAAATAATAATAATAGTAATAGTAATGATAACAAGAGTAACACAAAATGTTCTTTATATATATATGTATATATAGAACAGAAAATATGTTAATTTATCTTTTATAAAAAGAAACAGGAAAGAGAACTCAAACAAATAGTTATCTTAAGGGAGCAGAAACCATCAGAGTTTATATCTTTTTATGCAGTCCTAATTTCTGAACTAAGTTAGTGATTTTATATACCGAAATATAAAAAACAAGAGAGGGTGTATTCCTTAGTGGATATAACATAAGGACAAAATAAAAGACTTCAATAAAACTGTAAGCTTCCTACTCGTCATTGATAGCAGCGCTGATGTATAATAATTAAAGCATCTGTGGAAATAGAACAGGAAGTGACCATGAGTGGTACTGCCTGAGCCAGCTTATGTTCTGAATAAGACAAGACACAAAGCGGGTGAGAATACGCATGGTTTGGATTGGAATTAAGACTCTTCAGTATGAACTCACACCTTTAATTCTAGCACTCAGGAGACAGAACAGGAGGATCCCTGAGGTGGAGGCCAGCCTGGCTTACAGAGTGAGTTCCAGGACATCCAGGACTATACAGAGAGACCCTGTCTTGAAAAACAAAAACAGAACAATCTAGAAAGCTACCAATTTACATATTTCCTCTTGCTACCCATTAACCAGGCATGGAAGCAATGGCACTTAGAATCCTGGGAAAACTCACTGTGTAGATCTTGACTTCAAGAGCTGTTATTCATTAGTATGACCCGGGGCTCTGGGAGACATCCAGTCTATGGTAAGCACAAGATGAGCATAAAGAAATGCTCTGTGCCAGGAGCAAGGGCACTCAGAAACTAGTGGGTCTGAAGGGAACAACTGAATAGCCAGATAAAAACAAGATAAACTAACAACAATGTCAAAATCCAAAAATTAACAGACTAATAATGGTATTAAAAATTTGAATTAAAAAATTGTTTAGTAAGCCGGGCAGTGGTGGCGCACGCCTTTAATCCCAGCACTCGGGAGGCAGAGGCAGGCGGATCTCTGTGAGTTCAAGGCCAGCCTGGTCTACAAGAGCTAGTTCCAGGACAGGAACCAAAAGCTACGGAGAAACCCTGTCTCAAAAAATAAAAAAAAAAATTGTTTAGTCAATACTGGTTCATACATAAAACCATGATAGGAAGAAAGAGGTAGAGTCTACAGAAGAATGTTACTCATCATGTCTAAGAATGACTGTTAAAAACTCACTCTTGTACAAATAGCACAACACAAGGGATGCAACAGTCATGTGGCCTCAGAGAGCAAACTGCACAAGCGATTACAGGGGACAAGCACACCCTCTTAAAGTAGAGACCCGGGAGACACTGCCTTAGCAAACTGACCATCGCCAAGAACAACAGTGATCAGCATTGTGTGGCTGAAGAAAACACATGGAAAGTCCATTGCCTTTGAAATACTATGAGCAAAATGTTTAGTCTGAGGCCGGATGTGCTGGTACTCTTAACTCCAGTACTTGGGAGGCAGGGGCAGAGAGATGTGAGTTAAGGTCAGGCAGAACTACACAGTGAGGCCCTGTCACAAACAGACGAATGGTCAAAGAAATAACAAACAGTTTAACTTGGATCTATTCATGAGGAAGCAGGGAAATCAGGATCACTCTGTAAACAAGACTATTTTAGGCCCTTAAAATATTATTATGAAAAACTTAAAAAAAGAAGAAAAAGATCTGTTATGTCGCAGCTTGGCATTCCTGAGCACCCAAAGGACCTGCTTGTCTGTGCTCACTGCTCTTTACCGCACCAGCAAGGAACTGAGTCAGCCTAGATGCTCGCTGACGGATGGGCAATGACGAGGATGATGTGGTACAGTAGAATTCTGTGAATTTAGGGAGGTAACCCCGGCTCAGGAGGACATAGACTTCTGATAGAGTTTTCTCTCATACTTGGCTCCTAGTTCCTATAATGTTTTCCTTTTCATTTAACTAGAAAATAAAGCCGGATGGTGGTGGCGCACTCCTGTAATCCCAATACCTGGGAGGCTGAGGCTGGTGGATCTCTGTGAGTTCAAGGCCAGCCTGGTCTACAAAGCAAGTTCCAGAACAGTGTATGTATGGTGTGTATATGGGTACATGTGCCACAGCCATGTGTGTGGAGGTCAGAGGACAATTTTGTGTTATCTTCTATTTTATGTGGGTTCCAAAGATCAACCTCAGGTCACCGGGCTTGTGTGGAAAAGCACCTTTACTCGTAGAGACATTTCCCTGGTCTCTGAGCTTCCAGTTGTTAAACACGCATCACATATAAATGTGAGCAGTGGCCAGGAAGATGGAATGGGATCCCTGAGGTGGGGAGAACACAGGAACTGTGAAAGGGAAGGGGGAGCACGGAGGGTGGACGGTGGGGCACGGTGGAGAAAGGAGAGGCAGGAGTACGAGACAAGACTGATCAAAACCAAGTTTGTGTGAAAGCACAAGGGAGCCTGCTCCTTTGTAAGTCAAACAAACAAACAGAAAAGGGGGACAGCCAGTATCAGCCAATAAGAGAAAAGAGGCTGGGGACAGTTTTTACATAGGAAGAGACTAAAGACAGGAGATAGCAGGAGGAGGATGAGACTCTGAACTGGGAAAACATATTTAAAAGGCACATCGTTGTGACATTCAAATAAGCAATAATAAATCATGGCTCAAGATGAAAAGCAATCTATGTTCCATGGATCAAGCTTCCATCTTTCTACAGGTTGGCAGTCTTTCAAAATCAAGTTACTGTTAAGGAGATAAGAATGGAGGGATTGAAGTGGAAAACTAAAAAGAATGAAACAGATCTTTCCATAATTACTGAGTGCTTTTAAAGAAAGCTTTTTGAGAAAGGGCCTCACTGTTCACCAGGGGTGGCTCTGAACTTGCCACTCTCTTGCTTAGACTCTTGAGTGCTAGGATTACTGGTATTTGGTTTTGGTTATACCATTACTGGTAGATGGTTTTCAGGATATGATATCACATGAAAAAACAAGACTGTAATATCAATAAGATATCTTTTATACTGTAAAATGAACTTAACAAAATCAATACAATCCTTTTTATTCTTTTTTACTGCTGGGGATCAAGCCCAGGGCCCTGTGCACGCTGGCAGGTGCTCCTCACTGAGTTGTATGCCCAGTCCTTGACAAGATTTTTATCCTGACTTTATATGAAAAAAAAACCCTCCCCTGTAAACAAACACAACGTCAGAGACAAGTGTATCTAGAATCAAACTAGAATCTTATTTTGAAATATTAGCAATTATTTAAAAACCCAGGTTTTGTCTTGGAGGTGTAGACAGACTTATCTTCCAGATTTCTACATAACAGTGGATCTCAGGCATATTCAACAGACAGGGGCTGCTAGTCAGAGGGACAGAGGGCTGTGTGCAGGCGAGACACTTTGCCTGCACACAGACAAGAGGGTTCGTTGGTAAATAGAGTAAAAAAAAAAAAAACCAAAATACCATGGGAGTCTGAAATACACACTTTTTGTGGCTGTCTATACTTGCTTATGATGGTTGATCTTTGTCATTAACTTGACTACATCTAGAATCAGCTATAACCTGAGTGGCCAGGCACTCCCGGGCGGGATGTTCTTGATTGGATCACTTGAGGTGAGAAGACCCACCTAGACCTGAGTCACACCTTCTGGTGGCAGCCCACATAAAAGGGCAGAGAAGAAGGAAGATTTTGCTTTGGCCTAGTGGATAGGTGTCATTGACAAATTCACCTATCCAGTTGCTGAGGCATTCCTTCACTGGTATCTGGACCAAATTCCCCAGGAGCCCGGTGTAGACTGCAGACACGCTAGGGATTCTCTGGAACTCCACACCATACTGGGACTGCTGAGACATCCAGTGTCATGGACTCAACAATACCAGATTCCTGGCCTATTTAAAAAATTTTTGAGACAGGGTTTCTCCGTGTAACCCCAGATGTCCTAAAACTCACTTTCTGGACCAGGCTGGCCTCGAACTCACAGAGATCCACCTGCTTCTGCTTCCCGAGTGCTGGAATTAAAGCATGTGCTACCACTGTTAGGCAATTCTTGGCATTACTATTGGGAGACAGTCATTGTGGGACTACTTAGATCATAGCATTTAAATTACACTCAAATAAACAAACAAACAAACATGTATATACACACACACCTCCCATATAAATATATTTCATTCAGTCAGTTCTGTTCCTTTAGAGAGCCCTGACTACTAACACACTTATATGTCGAGGGAATGGCACAGTGAAGCCCTAGAGATGGGTGGGATCTGGGATCTTTGAGGATAAAATGTGCAGACACTGGCAAAGGTATAAATGATGCTCAGAAACTTCCTGAAGACTTCCCATAAGGCAATGGCACCAACAGCTCTGAGTTTTGGACCAGCTGGATGCCTCTGCAGTCACCTTGCTATGCTTACGAATCGAGTATCAATACACTGAGGACACAGATTCTTGAGTATAAAGTCATGAGCCGGCTTTTCTCCTCACCTGGGTTAGGGCCTTCTACAATTTCCTTTATCACCATCCACGGCTCTTCTAAGATGGGAATCACAGTTGGCCTGTAGACGGTCAGTCCTGGTTAGAAGAACAGAAGGAGTTTTTCCTGAGATGAGGAGCTGTGCACCCTCAGTACCTGACTGCTACTCGGGCTTCCGTGGGGAGACAGTGGCTCATGGATATGACCTAACAGGAGAACGAGGTGTGAGAGCACCCAGTGCAGCACTGGACAGCTGTGCACTGTGGTGCACACCGCCCCACCCAGCAAGCCTTTCTTTTGGAGAACAGTAGAATATGACCATTTCTGTGCCTGAAGGAGACTTCTCACCTCTAGACTGTGTCGTCAGTCAGGTCCTCTAGGAGCCTATCCTGATTTTAGTAAGGAGGGGTAGGAACAATCTGCGCAGGCCTTTTGGGAGAAAAGATGTGGATCTTACCTAGAGAAACCATGTTCCAATAGTTCTGCAAAGTCACGGTCTTATACAGTTCCTTCTGAACGGGGTGCATCAGTTCCCAGTCCTCCTGGGTGATATCCACGGCCACATCGGTGAATGTCACTGATTCCTAAAATATCAAACATAACTTAGCTCAGCTGATTTACGGGGACACTGGGTGTGAGTCTGTGGTGGAAATCACAGAATCTTAAGTCTCATCCTGCTGGATGTGGTGGACCACACTTACACCACCAGTATTCAGTGAGGTCTGAGCTAGCCTGACTACATGGGTCAGAGTCTGTCTTCAACCAACCAACCAACCAACCAACCAACCAACCAACCAACCCACCCAAGGTCTGAAAACCCTCATTCAATGTGTGGTTGACTCCATAGTATCCTTAAGAGGTCCTTAAAGGGACATTTAAAAATAAGGTGGAATATATTATTTTCAGCAGACACTAGCACATGCTCTTAATGGCTCCATCTTAAAGAATAAAAGGGCTGGGTGAAGCTCAGTGGTAGACGCCTTGTCTAGGAGACTCTAGACTCAGATTCCATTCCTAGCACTGAAAGGAAAAGAAAATAACTCTGTGTGTATGTGTGTGTATGTGTGTGTATGTGTGTGTGTGTGTGTACATGCCTATGACATGGAGTGCGGCGGTCAGAGGGCGATCTCAGGTGTCAGCCGTCACCTCCTACCTTATCTGAGACAGGACCTCTTGTCTGGCCTGCAAACTCCCAGGAATTCTCCTGTCTCTGCTGCCTATCTTGCATTAGAGCTCTGGGGTTCCGCATCACCACTTCTAGCTTTCTGTAGGTTCTGGGGACCCAAACTCAGGTCCTCATGTTTGTGTGGCAAGCACTTTGCCTACCAAGTCACCTCTCAAGCCCAGAAGAAAGGATGAAAACTGGGTGACAGGGTTGGTTTTGCCTGAAGAATAAACTCAACAGGCTGTAATTAACAATGCACATGCTCCGCAATGACATGCAGAGCTCATTCTCGTTCTTCCCTCGGGGCTGCTGCATCTGTAGACACCTTTACTTTGTGTTCCTGTTAAGTAATTTTTTTTATTTTTGAGGGGGCTGGAGAGAGATGGCTCAGCATTTAAAGGCTAGGTTCACAACCAAAACATTTTTTGTTTGTTTGTTTTTCAAGATAGGGTTTCTCAGTGGGACATCAAAAAATGTTTTTAAGACAGGGTCTCCACTATGTAGCCCTGGATATCCTAGAACTCACTGCGGACCAGGCTGGTCTTGAACTCATAGAGATCTGCCTGCCTCTGGTTCCCCAGTGCTGGGACTAAAGCTGTGCACCATTAGGTTCTTCATTACTCTGACGTGCTCCTTTTTCTCAGGTGTAACTCTGAGTCAAGGTCTTAGTGTGTAGCCCATGCTGGCCTTGCATACAGAACATTACTGCCTTAACCCTGCCCAGCTGAAAAACTGAGAAGGAAAAAATCATACTAAGTTTATAATTTAGGGAGATAACAGCTTTGCAATTATTCAAGTTTTTTTTAATGTCCCATAAAATGACAAAGGACATGAAAATACTTCAAAATCCATACTAGGCTTAGTTCTAGCTATTTTAAGGTTTTCTTTTTGTGTATATGCATGTATGGTACTGATTAAATCTTATATTTCATTTTAATCATATGATCTTTACATAACATGGGTTACATTTCTGCATGCTATTTTCTATAGACATCTGTTTCTATTATTTCTAACACATTTCCCCTTGGTTTTCTGATTTTCCAAGTAAATATGTTTATATCATCTATAAAAAAATCATAGTCTAGGTAACAGAGGCTTTACATACAAACACACACATGCGCACATATATACAACCCCCCCCTCCAATAAATCCTCCTCTTAATGTTGCTTGAGTTGTTATTCCTTAAACGAGAGACTACCATTCTAACAGCGGGTCACAGAATATTTGGCCTTTACTTTTTGATGAAGAAAGATATTAGCAACCACTGCTATCATCTAGGATAACCAGATAACTCATACTCAGAGCCCACAATCCAAAAGGTAAAGTCTACTTCTTGGCACCATATAACTTAGGCCAGGAGTGGTTAAGACTCTTGTCTCAAATCATAGATTTAATAGCAGAGTCAACCTCCCTTACTCTAGATCCCATCTGGCTGTAGGGTCAGAGCCAACTGCCTCCCTCCCCCATCCACAGCCAATGGTCAGTCTCTTCTTAACCTTTACCCCATAAAGGTGGTTGAGGTCACAGTGATGAGGACAAGGGAGGCACATGTGCTTACACCTGAGGCCTAGGTTCTGAATGAGGCTATAGGCCCAGGACAAGATGTCCTCATACATTAAAAAGCAAATTTAAAATCACAGAAGAAAGTCAAACTCACTTTGGTCACCAAGTCATTGAGCCACCCTGCCTGGAAAGCATGTTTGGGGTCTTCCTCTGGGATTTCTTGGGGAAGGGCAGAATTCTGAGGAGCTGGGGAAGACAATGATGATTAGTCTGTTTGCATGGTCTGGGACACACTTTACCAGGCATGTCTACACTTACTCAACGTGAGAAGGCAGAGGACAACTGAAAACGTCATTAATGCTTCAGAGTCGGAGCAAAGGCCAAGGACCGTGCTAACAGATCAGTGCAGACTGCAGAAAACAAGCCCGCTTCAGCACTGAGCACATGTGGAAAATTCATACTTCTCTACAATTTTTTTTTGGGTGGTGCTGGCATTGAACCCTGAACCTTGTCCACCGCCAGGCTACGTACATCTCCTGCTCTCTACATCTCAGACACAAAGTTGTGAGATGTCTCAATACGTGAATGATCTTTGAACACTTCTATTTTGGAAGTATATTTTTGAAAAACCCAATTCATAAAACTGATGGTTTATTAGCATAATGGAACAAGCCTCTACAAGTCACAGTGGCCCAAGTACTCAGAAGAGGACACAATGCAGGATGGGCCTCATGTTAAAGCTCAATCTCACTGATCTTTATTTAGGGCAGGGGCTGCTCTCAGAGGTGCTATGTGTCTTCTCTAACCACCCACGGAGTCTGCCCCTCTCTGTTCAGTTCTCACCTTCCTCTTCTAGAATCTGCATCAAATCCTCCACCAGAGTCACCACTTCCTCAGTGTTCTCTGGGCACTGAGACTTTACCCAAGCCCTGAGCTCCCCGGGCAGGATGGCCAGGAACTGCTCCAGCACCAGCAGCTCCAATATCTGCTCCTTGGAGTGAACCTCGGGTCTTAGCCACTGACGGCAGAGCTCTCGGAGCTGACTCAGCGCTTTCCGAGGACCCGCCACATCTGGGTATGGAAAATTCCTAAAATTCTGTCGACAGGTCTCAGTGTCACGCAAGAGTCTTGAAGTGAGTGTTTGCTTCTCAACACCGCAGGGCCCATTTTGAACCTTGTCTGACTTCCACATTAGAAAGACTTGTGAGCGCGAAGAATTGGCCATCCTCTTTCTTGAGGCTAACATTGCTATAGACAGGAGAACCAATCTGGTAGGATCCTTTATTTTTTCAGTATTGAGCCAATTGCTTGAAGACTCATGCTACCGTCATAATAATTTTTTTCCCTCAAGGGCTGCTGCAGCCAAGGCCAGATTGGAACCACAGAAAAGCTAGCAGCTTATAACAGATTCTGAGTCCAGAACTTGAAATGAAGAAGGAGACCCTGAAACACAAGAATTGCCAGAGTTTGGTTACTATTGCTCTGACTAAACACCACAAGCAAAAGCACCCTGGGAGGACAGGGTGTATTTGGCTTACACTTCCACATCACTGTTCATCATCATTGGAAGGAAGTCAGGACAGGAACTTAAACAGGACAGAAACCTGGAGGCAGGAGCTGATGCAAAGGCCATGGAGGGGTGCTGTTTACTGGCTTGCTCTCCATGGCTTGCTTAGCCTGTTTTCTTATAGAACCCAGGACCAGCAGCCCAGGGATGGCCCCACCCACAATGGGCTGGGTCCTCCCCATCAGTCACTATGAAGAAAATGCCCTACAGCATGGTCTTATGGAGGCATTTCCTCAATTGAGGCTCCCTCCTCTCAGATGACTATAGCTATGTCAAGTGGACATAAAACTAGCCAGCACAACTGATACACAAACACATCACTGTTAAGTAACAACCTTTCTTTTCTTGTTCATCCCCAAGATCACACATGAATAATGACATCATGTACTAGGCTTTTTCTTTTGGGCCACCAACCAGCTCCCAAATCATGACATGGAGACTTATTAGTTATGAATGCATGGTCTAGCTTAGGCTCCTTTCGGGCTAGCTCTCCTAAGAAATTGACCTGTTTCTTGACCTTTTGCCTCAGGGCTTTTTACTTTTCTTTCTTTCTGTATGTGTTACTTTCACTGCTTCTTGTGTCTGCCTGGTGATGCCTGGCTTCTGGCCCTGGGTGTCCCTCTCCTTATCCTCGTTCTCTTCTTTCTTCTCTTGTTCTTTTTTCCTATTTGTTCTGTCTGCCCCAGAGCTCAGCCTACCCCTCTTCTGCCTAGCTATTGGACATTCGGCTTTTTATTAGATCAATCAGGTACTTAGGCAAGCAAGGTAAAACAAATGTAACACATCTGTACGTGATTAAACACACATCTTTGGGGCTGGAGAGATGGCTCTGAGGTTAAAAGCATTGCCTGCTCTACTAAAGGTCCTGAGTTCAATTCCCAGCAACCACATGGTGGCTCACAACCATCTGTAATGGGGTCTGGTGCCCTCTTCTGGCCTGCAGGCATAGACACAGACAGAATATTGTATACATAATAAATAAATAAATAAATAAATATTAAAAAAATACACATCTTTACATCATTAAACAAATGCAGTATAACCAAATAACACACTTTTACAGTTAAAGTAATATTCCACAGAATAAATAAATGTAACAATCTTTGCCTAGTTAAAATAATATTCTACAACAATATCACAATATACAACACTTTAAAACTTAAAAAGTTCCACAAGTATTACAAAAATCAAACACTTTAAAATATTTAGTTTCTTTTAAAAATCCAAAGTCTCAACTGTGGGCTCCTAAAAATAAAAAATAAGTTAAATACTTTCTTATTTCAAGAGGAGAGAACCAGAGCACAGTCACAACAAACCAAAGCAAAACCAGCTGAGTGGTGGTGGCGCACACCTTTAATCCCAGCACTCGGAGGCAGCAGAGGCAGGTCGATCTGTGAGTTCAAGGCCAGCCTGGTTTACAGAATGAGTTTCAGGGCAAAACAAAACAAACACACACACAAAAGAAAAACTTTCAATTGTGTAAACAACTCAATGTCCGATGTCTGGAATCCACTCCCACTCTTCTGGGTCCCTCCAAAAGGCCTGGGTCACTTCTGACTCTGCTCTCCGCAGCACACACAGCTTGTCTTCTAGGCTCCCGCTGGCTTCACTCCACTGCTGCTGCTGTGTCTTGGTGATCACCTATGGTACTCAAAAATGCTGGGGTCTCTTGCTGACACTGGGTTGTACTTTCACCAATAGCCTCTGTGCTGGCTACTCTTACATCAACTTGACACACAAGCTAGAGCTTTCCAAAATGAGGGAACTTCTATTGAGAAGATGCCTCCGTAAGATCCAGTTGTAAAGCATTTTCTTAACTAGTGATTGATGGGGGAGGGCCCAGTCCACTGTGGGTCATTCCATCCCTGAGCTGGTGGTCCTGGGTTCTATTAGAAAGCAGGTGGAGCAAGCCAGGGGAGTAAGCCAGAAAGCAGCACCCCTCCACGGCCTCTGCATCAGCTCCTGCCTCCAGGTTCCTGCTCCGTTTGAGTTCCTGTCCTGACTTCCTTCGGTGATGAACAGCGATGTGCAAATGTAAACCAAATAAACCCTTTCCTCCTCAGCTTGCTTTCTGATCACAGTGTTTCGTCACAGCAAGAGAGACCCTGAGACAGCCTCTCCTGGACTTTCTTCAGGGATGCTGGCCCTGCCACACAGTGCCAAGCCTAAGCTGTTCTTCAGGACTCCTTCACGTCATCAAAACCAGTACCACCTGAGTGACTCTTCCTCTGCCAAGTTCGGCCGTTTACAGAACCTTGGCTGCCTCTGGCACAGCTTCTGTGTGCGTGACCCTGAGGAGACACTTCCCAGAAGACTCACCTCAGTGACGCCCGTCTCTTCCGAATCACAGAAGACTATTCAGATGTAGCTGACCAGACACCAAAGATCCTCCACACAAAATGTCAAGTTTGCTTCCCTCTGAAGCTTCACAAGCAGGCCTCCATCATCTGCCATATTCCCCACACTTCTACCTTCAGCTCCTACAGAACAGCCGACTGAGCTCTTGAAACTCAATGACTTTTCTAAACCAAAGTTCCAACGTCCTTCCACCATCCTCGCTAAAACAACGTGGACAGGTCTGTGATAGGCACATCCACTTCTAGCTCCTGTTTCTTAGTTAGGGTTACTATTGCTGGGAAGAAACACCATGAGTGAAAGCAACTCGAGAGGAAGGGGTTTATTTGGCTTACACTTTCACATCACACTTTTCGTCAAAGGAAGTCAGGACAGGAATTCAAACAGGGCAGGGACCTGGGGGCAAGAAATGATGCAGAGGCCGTGGAGGGTGCTGCTTACTGGGTTGATCTCTGCGGCTTGCTTAGTCTGCTTTCTTATAGAACCCAGGACCACCCATCCACATATGGCTCCAAACACAATGGGCTGGGCCCTGCCCCATCAATCAATCAAAAGAAAATGCTCCACAGGCATGCTTAGGGTTCAGTCTTAAGGAGTCTTTTCCTCAATTGAGGGGCCCTCCTTTCAGATGACTATAGCTTGTGCCAAGTTGACCTAAAACTATCCAGCATAATGGATCATACGCCGGGTGGTGGTGGCACACACCTTTAATCCCAGCACTTGGGAGGCAGACACAGGTGTATCTTTGTGAGTTCGAGGCCAGCCTGGTCTACAAGAACTAGTTCCAGGACAGGCTCCAAAGCTACAGAGAAACCCTGTCTCGAAAAACAAAAAGAATGGACCATAAGCTCAAGAATTCCTGGTGTACGATGCTACTCATCATAGGCACAGAGGCAGACTCTGCAGAGTGCACAGACAGACACATCGGATTCACTCTTGTCTTCCTTCCCTCTGTCCTTGGACTTGGATTATATTCATCCCAGAGGTGCAAGTGTGTGTATGGACAGTGGTGGTAGAGATAATAATTCAAAGAATTATTAGCAGAATGGTTAATTTCTAACTTATTAAAAACTAATCATCCTACAGAAAGAAACGTTTCACTGTCTTAGTCACTGATGTTCCCGATGTTCTCAGCAACAGAGCAAATCTGCGATTACTGGGACAAACTGGAGGTTTCCAAACACCCTCGTGGGGGTGGGGCCAAGGCGATCTATTTATCTGCCTTGCATAGTCTACTCTCTGAGCCGGGAAAACTGGCCCGTTGGACCGTGATTGGAGGCCGTTTCAGGAGCCTCCTCAAGTATAAACCGAGAGCACGGTCCCCAAAGCCAACCCTGCAAGTATCCAGACGTGGAGAAGAACCCACAGGCACTTGTCCAGGGCTCCAACTCCCAGCCCATCCGCAGCTATGCCCCGAGGAGATGCTCAGGTCTCGCCTCCAGCCGCCTCCCCTTCCTGGCCTCGCCCCGGCCCGGCCTCCCCGTGGACACTCTCGGGGACATCAGTACCTGTCGCTCGGCCCCGTGCACGCAGCACGGGCAACAATGGCGGCGGCGTGACCGGCGCCTGCGTGGCAGGCTCGACCTGGAGTTGCACGGGGGACTCAGCTTCTCCGCTTTCCTCTCCAGGAGGAGCAGGGAGCCGCCAGGACGCGCCAGTCCCAGCTCGGTCCCCAGAGGCCCGTGCCGGAACACCCAGAGCCTGGGCTTCGCAGCGACCTCGCCTCGGCGCCACTGCGCATGTGCTACTGGAACGCTGCGCGTCCATAGAGCCAATGGGAAGCTGAACTTGGGCCTCCCCATCCCGAGCCCCTGGCCTTGGACCTGTCTCCATGGTAACCTCCTCCACCCATCACCATGACTTGCTTGTAAGCTGCAAGGTTTTGACAGGAACTTTAAAATTTCCCTGGACAGTGACAGGCCTGCCACAAGACTTGGACATCGGGGCTTTAACAGCATCTGGGAAAGCGCTTGAAGAGTAAAGCCGGCTTCTTACTACTCAGGGATGGAGAGGCATTGAGGAGGAAAATGCACACTGCTCTTTCAGGGTGTACTGTGCATAAATACTTAATGACTGATTGTCTACTCAAGAATCTGACACTGGGACCTGAAGTTCAATGTTTTTTACTCTTTTGCTCTTTGGGCTCTTTTGGGAGAGCCCACTACCCAGCTCCCAAATTAATCACCCGATCACCCGGAGGCTTATTATTTCTTATAAATGCCTGGTCTTAGCTTGGCTTTTTTTTTTTTTTTTTAAATCTATCCCATCTATCTACTGCCCTTGGGCTTTTACCTTTCTCTATTTATGCATATCCTTTCTTCTTATTCCATGTCTGGTTGGGTGGCTGACCCCTTCTTTTCTCGCTCCTTTTTCCTCTCTTGCTTATCCTACCTGGCTCCCAGATTTTCCGGGCTATTTGTTCTCTCTGCCTGGCAGCCCCGCCTTTCCTTTCTCCTGCCTAGCTATCAGCTGCTCAGCTCTTTATTAGACCAGTCAGATGTTTTAGACAGGCAAAGTAACACAGCTTCACAGAGTTAAACAAGTGCAACATAAAAGAATGCAACCCATTATTTCATCATTAAAGAATGTTCTACAGCACAAAAAATGTAACACATCTTAAAATAATATTTACAACAGGGACCCTCGGGTTCCACTAATAGACAAATTCTCTATCTTCAGTGTTTCAGCTCCTTCTTCTGTGCATTCTTTGGTTTGGTCTTTTGATTGCATCCCAGACTTCCTGGACAGTGTGATACTCATTAAAAAGTCTTATTGAGTTTGAATACACGCAATTTTATCCTCCATTCTTGATGTTCTTTATTCTGCTTGGCCAAATCTATTGGTGGTATTTCCACTGCTTTCCTGTTCCGTTCACTGAGTTTCTTTTTCTTGTATTTTCAGAATTTCTGTGTGGACTCCCCCAATGCTAAAATATCAATTTCTTTCCCTACTCATGCTCACAAAAGCAAAACCAGTTAAACTCATGGGATCGTCAAAACCAGATGCAAAAGTAGGGGAGAGTTGAGTCTCTGTGTGAGGCCAGCCAAGTGTACGCAGTCAGTTCAAGGTTAGCATGGGCTACATAACATGGAAAAGACAAGAATGGAGAGATGGCTTAGGAATTAAGAGTGCTTATTATTCTTACAGAAGACCTGGTTTCAGCTTCTAGCACCCACAAGATGACTGAAAGTTGTCTGTAACTCCAGGGAATCTGCTGCCTCTTCTGACCTCCACAGGTTCCTGCATACATGTGACACACACACACGTAACTAAACAAATATTAATAATGGGTATTAATAGTGAATAATAAATGTTAACAAATAACGTTATAATGGAGGACTTTGGAAAACAAGAACAAACACCAACCAGTTACTGAATGGAGGAAAGGAATGAAGACCAGGACAGTAATTAAGCCTGGTGGACATCTAAGCTGATTCTGTTTCCTTGCCTTGTGAAAAGAACTATTTCTATTATTTTTTTTGATAATTTTCCACCCTGGTTTCCACAGTGGCTGCAGTCCATTACACTGTCTCATCACAGACATCTTCTTTCCCTGCAGCCCTAAAGGCATTTGTTGACATTTTCTTGATGATAACTCTTCTTACTGGAGTGAGATAGAATCTCAAAGTTGTATTTTTCTGGTAGAGAAGGATGTCAAACACTTTAAAAAAATTATCGATCATTTTTATGTCTTCTATTGGGAATCCACCTTTGGGCCCATTTATTGCTTTGGTGTTTAATTCCTGTAGTTTTTTATATGGCTTACACCAGTGGTTCTCAACTACCGTGGGTCGTGACCTACAGGTGTGTGGGTGTATGTAGGGGGAGCGTTGCTATTGGCCACGCCGGAGGAGCAGCAAGTTGTACTTGAAGTTCCAGGTGTCAACCCACCCACCAGAAGAGAATCCTCTGAGGGGCCAGTCTCGTTTAGGCAAGACCACGGGACTACAAACCCCAGAAATCTTTTCCTTCTTCTGTGCCTTTACTTGTTTACGGTGGCTCTCTTTCTCTGGTATCTAGCATGGTGTGAGTGGACGTGGGGGAAATCTCCATTGTCTGTAATATAGTGTGTTTATCTCTTGCAAACATCCTGTTCTACTGGGCATTTTTACCTGTGGATTGTCAAGATGACCTGTCCCTAAGCTGTACTGTCTACTTTGACACTAATAATGATAGCTTATTCAGAGTTTTGCTGGATAAAAATAAATACAAGGAGATGTTTCACCTAAGGAGCTGCATGGATTGTAGCTCAAGTTAATGACTAACAATTGAGTCCCAGTAGCCCAGCTAGTTTAAATTCTTTTAACCTTAATGTCAGGATGCGTTCACAGGTCTCGGAGGGCATCACAGCTAAAACAAAGCTTTAAAAATAACAAAGTTAGACTAAGATGTTTTTGTTAAATAACTTTGAGGTGAAAAGCCCAAGAAGACAATCTAAAGTTTTAGAAAGACACATAGCTGAATGCAGAACTCTTTAAGGTCAAGGAACAAGAACAAAGCAACCTAATTATTACTGGCTGCCGTACTCTCCTTGCGAAATTTGGCTAATGACCAAACGTGATGATTAATTCCTTATACCCATTTCTGCCCTCAATCTCCTGATGTATATGTATATACACATATACTATTAGTGAATGGATATGCACCCTAAAGACTTAAAATAGAGCGGAATAATTCTTTTTCATATATAAAAGTTTAGGTTTGTGATTCCTTATAAGATTACCTTTCAAGATAAATAATAAAGTAATTGGCCCTTTCTTTGTAATTGCAAAAAGCAATCTGCCAGGAAATGACCCGATGAGAACACCTTGTTTGCCCCCATGGTTAATCTATAACAAGTTGCTTGGGTATGAATGTATGTGGGCTCTTGGGATAATCTGTTTTTCACCTGTAATACATAAAATGTTTAGTCATGTAGGGAGATGAAAAACATGTTTTAACCTGTAATCATTCACTTGAAAAATGGAATGCAATCATTTTGATTCTTGTACTGTCTGGAAGATTCTGTTGGGGTATAAAATGTGTAAAACAACACGAGAGGAGAGAGAAAACAAAAAGAGAGACTATAGAGAGAGAATAAAGAAGGAAACGATTAAGAGAGCTTGTGAGTGCCTTTTTCTCTAACTCCCTCAGGTAGAAAAGTTTAACCTCGCCGACTCCGTGGATTTCTGTGAAAGCCCTGTGCTGCTGGAAGCTGGCCCCCCAGGTAACCCTGTGCTGCTGGAGGCTGGCCCCCCAGGTAACCCTGTGCTGCTGGAGGCTGGCCCCTCGAAAGCAGTAGGGGTTATTCAGCCTCTAATGATCCTTTCAGAGGGGTCACCTAAGACCATCAGAAAGCATAGATATTTACATTATGAGTCATAATGGCAGCGAAATTACAGTTATGAAGTAGCAACAAAAATAATTTTATGGCTGAGGGTTGTCACAACATGAGGAACTGTATTAAAGGGTCACAGCGTTAGGAGGATTGAAAACCAGTGCTTTAAAGTAATCCAATTTGCCAATTGCTGGGCCTAATTGCTGTGCTAGTCAGAAATTTTTTGCACAAACCTATATTCCAAAGTGTTTCCCCTATATTTTCCTTTATCAGTTTCAACATTTATGATTTCAAGGTAGGGTCTTTGATCCAGTTTGAATTGATGGTTTGGCTCATGATGAGAGATAATTTCATTCTTCTGAAGATGAATATCTAGTTTTACCAGCATCATTTGAATAGGGCATCCGTGCCTGTGTCCTCTATTATATTTCTGTTTTTGTCATTATGGCTCTGTAAAATATTTTGAAACTAGGTCATGTGATAACTATGTCTTTCTGCTTAAAATTGATTAGTAATTGATTATAACTATTCTGATCGGCATAAGATAGAAGCTATAATTTGCTTTTCTATATTGATTAAGGGTCTGAACACTTTACAAAATGTTTGCTATCAATTTGTATTTCTTATTTGGGGGAAAATCTGTTTAATTCTATAATTAATTTTCTGATTGGGTTGGTTGCTTTCCTGATGTTTAGTTTCTTGAGTTCTTTGTATATTCTGTATACTAAAATTGATGGTATTTGCGTTTCCATATGAACTTTATGATCCTCCCCATTCCTATGGAGAATGCCATTGGTATGTCAGTAAGGATTGCATTTCATTTGTAGATCAGTTTTGGTAATATGGCCATTTCCACAATATTAATTCTGCTGATCTATGAGAATGGGAGGTCTTCTTGAGGAAATTCTATGGCAATTTTCATAGTTATTGTACCAGTTTCTACTCCCACTGCCTTAGTTAGGGTTACCATTGCTGTGATGAAACACCATGACCAAAAGTCAAGCTGGGGAAGAAAGGGTTTATTCAGCTCACACTTCCACATCACTGCTCATCATCAAAGGAAGTTAGCCCAGGAACTCAAACAGAGCAGAAACCTGGAGGCAGGAGCTGATGCAGAGGCTATGGAAGGGAGCTGCTTACTGGCTTACTTCCCATGGCTTGCTCAGCCTGCTTTCTATTAGAATATAGGACCACCAGCCCGTGGATAGAACAACCCACAGTGGACTGGGTCCTCCCCTTCAATCACTAAGAAAATGCCGTACAGTTGGATCTTTTGGAAGCATCTTCTCAATTAAGATCCTCTCCTTTCAGATAGCTCTAGTTTGCGTGTCCAGTTGACATAAGACCAGCAGCAGAGCTAACACTGATGCACCTCTTTTTCTACAGCATCACTAACAATTG